GAGTTTAACCAAAACCAGTTTTTGCTCACCCCCACTCTTTTGTGATTGAAGGCATAGCTAAATCCTTTTGCTACGCATCAATAGTTAAAAACTCGAAATTTTATTATAAGAGTCTTAAGTTTGATTTTTAGAATAAATAATGAGGAGTTTTAAAAAGTAAGAATTATTTCTTATTAGATAATATATCATTAGATATATTAACAAGTCTTTTTTCAGAGGAAGAACTCTTCCTCTTAGGCAAAAGTTTCTTGGGTACATCTTTTAAGCAAAGTTTGCATATTATTGTTGCTAATGTGACGTAGGTGATAATTTTTTAGTATATTTGATAATGGGTTACACAATGAAAAGTAAATTTTTTTTTTTTTTTTTGAAATTCTTTTCATCTAATTCAAAATTTGAACTTAAGATCTCTAATTTAGTATCTAAAAATCCTAACAAATTGAATCACCTTTTTCAGGCATTGTGATATAAGTGATAGATGAGACTAAGAGAGAGTTTGTAAAGTTTTAAAAAATTAAAATTTTCTTTCACAAATTTAAAATTTTATTAAAGATAAATTGAAAAATTAACATTTAAATTTGTTTTCAAGCAAGTTTTGAATAAGTTACATATCTAAACTTTTTCTAACCTTACTTAAAAACATCTATAAATGCAAAATTTTGAATTCCTTTTAGTAAAAATTTAAATTTGTAAAGAAAATAATTTACTTTTAAAGTAAGTACTTTTTGAGTTTTACAAACAATTTTTTAAAAATTCATAAGAAAATAAAATTAGCTTTGTCTCTCTCTTTTTCACTTTTTGGTTTTCTTTTTCAAACAAAGGGAAATGTAGCCGATGAAGGAGAGAGAGAGAGAGAGAGAGAGAAGGGAAAATGTACAGGATAGGAGGAAAATAAAAATTATTTAACGTCTTTCTTAAATACATAGCAGTTTAAGGACCTGCCGACCTACTTAGATCTAAAATTACCTTTATTCGACAAACTTTGTCAATGACCAGTTCATTCAATTAAATTGACCAAAATAAAAAGGTAAAAGAGCTTTGGAGAATCTGCTTAGAAATTGTTGGACGAAACAATGATAAATCCAGGTGGCTAGAAAATTTGAGTCAAGCTAATGTGGCCAAAATCAAAATGTGAAATTGTTGTTGTAATAGTCAACCTAGTCAAGTTTTTCTGGATTTTGTTTGTTGAAAACTTTTCTCCAATGGGTATATCCTTTTGTTCGGTCGACTCCTCCCCAAAGTCAAGAGGATCCTCAAATGCAACTGCTTCATCCTTCACAAGAGTCATCATAACATGTTCCCCACGCTCATATTATATATATGCCGACTAAACATTTTTTTTTTCTTCTACCTAATAAGTATACTCAAAATTGAAATTAGAAAATTGGGTTCTTTGAAAAATTTAATCTAATTAATTCAAAAAACAAGTTTTTTGACATAAAAAATTTTCATTTTTGACATATTATATTTTGACATATTATATAGGACAATGATTAGTACACCATATACTTCAACATTCGGTTCAACACTTTTCAGTTTAGTTATTAAAAAATCATTATTTTTTAATATGAAATTAAAAACAAACAAGTATAATGATACAGTCATGCACACAAGATACAAGAACCGACTGAATTGACTGTATTTATTTTATATTTTTAATAATTAAACTAAAAAATATTGAACAGAGTGTTGAACCGAAAGATGTACCAAACATTTTCCTCTTATATATATATATATATGTCGACTAGACATTTTTATTTTCTTCCACCTAATAAGTATACTCAAAATTAAACTTAGAAAATTTGGCTCCTTTGAAAAGTTTAATCTAATTAATTCAAAAAACAATTTTTTTTAACATAAAAAATTTCCCTTTTTAATGGTATTGATTTGAAAATTTCCTGGCATTAGTTAAAGACACCGTAAAAATTGTCTTTAGTCAAGAAATTGTCGGTCCATGGTTTTTCCAAACAAGAAGTAATTAATTAATGATAAGTCTCAACTTGTAAGTTGTACTGCAATTTCATTCAGACTTCTCTTCTAAGAAGTCATGTAGCTTTGACATCTAGTTCCTGACGAGACGTACAGCTTAACTCACTTGGTAGTAATCTCTTTTCTTTTTTCTCTTTTTTAAATAGAGAAGTGTGTCACATACTAATTTATGTTAAGAAATAAAAAAGAGTTATTATTTAATTTTTAATTTTAAATTAAAGTAATAATGATGATGAATTAGCTATTGAAAACAAAAGGTTAAATTCTTCAATTTGATCTCTCAATTATTGTATGTACTCTTGATCTTTAAATTTAAAAAAAAAAATTGATTTGGTGTCTAAAGTTTTTCAAATTTGACTCTAAATTGGTATTTTCATTACAAAAAAAAAAAAAACCCAACATGTTTGTTACTTGATAATAGAATATCGTACTTGACGATCACGTGTCATGTTAGATTACACAAGAAGGGGTAGCCTTTTTTTTTTTTTTCCTTAAATTTCTTCTCATTCAACTTAAAACTCAAATTTGAAATCTCATGTTTTTAACCAATGAAACCACTCTATTGGGGCGTCATTTGCTTTTCTAAATCCCTTTGAGGGTATGTTTAATTTAAGGGGAAGATAGAAGGGTTTTGTTTTGTTTTTTTTTTTTTTTTAGTTTTCACTTTTAATTTTTTTCAATTTGGAATTTGTCTAGAGATATTACATATAACCCCTTTCAAGACTTAACATTCTTGCCAAAGTTTGTCCTACCACTATTTAAGAGGTCATATAGAGTGACTTTGATGTCATATGAAATGACTCAACCTACTAATAATATCATAGTAATATTGTCTATGTGAATATATTATTCGTTTTAATCTATTATAACTCGTAGTTTTTTTATTTTTTATTTTATCAAAGTTTCATCATTTTTTATTTCATATATCAAAATCAATGACGATACATATCTGCTTTATCAGCATATATAAACGGCATAACCTGTCTGGAACCTCCTCTATCCAATAGAGATTGTTGCTTATATATGCTTCGATCTTTGCTAACTCGTGAGCTACCATATTCCCTTGAACAATGATTGAGACACAGTTGGTTCAATACACTACACAGCACATTCATTAAAAAATTATTTTTTTGTCTAAAATTAAAAGTAAAAAAGTTTTAAAAAATAATTATTCACATAAGTATAACAATCAACTGAATTAACTATATTTTATATTATATTTTTAATAATTGAATTAGAAGTGCGTAAAACAATATATTGAACTGAGTGTGTACTAATCATTTTCTTATTCCCTTCACGCATAACATGTTTCACCTCACACCGCTTAAATTGCTCCAACATACACCTACAGTCACTAAGCACTTCCCCAAACTCTGTTATTTTGAATGGAATTAGCCAGAACTGCACTTACCACACATGAATTATCACTTTCCACAATAAGCTTTCCGAAGCCTCCTCCCCTCCCCCATTGTAATGCCCTTTGCAAGCTGTATGCTTCCACAACTTTAGCACTTACTAGGCCATATCCTTTACATGACATGGCAGCCATCACCTCTCCATTGTTGTCTCGGATAACAACCCCCATCCCATATGATTTACTCTGCGCCCAAAAACAGCACCATCAACATCTAATTTGTACCAATCGTGATCCGGTGGCTTCCATTTGATCATATATATCACTACACTTTTGCTTTCTACTATCCTGCGTTGACCTTTTCATCACCACCCTATTCATAAATATACCTTAGAGCATGCTCCACAATCTGCCCAGCGGTTTTCTTAGGCCTCACAATTTTAGAATATGTCAACAAAAATTAATGAATATTAACTTGTATATTCAGTATCTCTTCTATACTTTTGTCGATGTTAAATTCGTCTAAAGGTGTCACATCTTTTAACTTATCCATATAGAGAAGGCTCTTAGCATACCTTTCCATTTTTCCCTTCCCTCCCCTCTCCCCTCCCCTTCTCTTTCCCCCCTCCTTTTATCTCATGACCTAACATACTTTTAAAATTAATTGGACATCATTAAGTACAAATCATAGCTTTAAAATGTTTCATCTCTTCAAAGGAGAGTATCAAATAGTAAGAATTGAGATTTTGTGAAAATCTCATATATGAACTTAATGTAGGTGATAAGAGATTTGATAAAAAAAAAAAAAGAAAAGAAAAAAAAAAGGAATGTTATTTCATATTGTGTAGTCCATTATTCCAACTATGTACAAAAGAAAATATTTCATGTGACTCTTTTTTGGAGGGATTTACAAGACAAATACACATAACTTGTTTCTCAATATTTGATGATGATAGGATAATCCTCACTTTTTCAAACATACCCTCATCTCTCAGTGTCACACCCTTACTTGACTTCATATATACTCAATCTCTTAATTTTGGGACAATATTTCTATGACCAGGGAAATAAAGAGGAGGGAAGGGATAAAATTTTTGTTGGTTTGATTACAATATAAGATAGTAGATTGGATCAGATTTTGATATTTTTAAAATCAAATCAATTTAATCAATTAATAAAAATTTTAAACCAATCTAATCTATTATATATGATTATAACCAAACCAATCTAATTTAGAGCAACTTAGTGTGGTTTGGTTAGATTTATCAATTTTTAACACTATTTTAAATATATTTGATTAAGTAAAAAATTAGGTATCAAACTATATAAGACACAATTATAAAACATAGTAACATTATAGACAACATAATGATAACACCAACTACTAAATTAAAGTAAGAATTAACAAGATGGTAAAAAAGAAAGGGTTAAGAAATAATAAGGCAACCATGACTTGCAAGCCCACACTATTACTACTCAATAAGAGTTTTGACAGTAGTAGAGCTTTTCTTTTTATAAGGGTAGATTTAGGACTGCACTATTTTTTAATTAAGTTAATGACATTGGTTGGTATACCTTTTAATTCATACTTCACAATACGTTCATTAAAAAATTATTAGTTTTGAATTTGAATTAAAAGTAAGAAAACTTAGAGTTACAAATTTCAATAGTTAAACTAGTGGGTGTTAATTGATGTGTTGAATTATAGGGTATACCAAGCATTTTCTTTAAATTAATTAAGTTATATTATTATACAATTATAGTACAAAAATAAAATAAAAAATGATAGTCAATACAATTGATATTATTATATTACAACCATAAAAATATTATACTAAAGAAATAAGTAAAAAAAGATTAAAAATACAATTTGTATAAAAAATGAAATTTCTAAAAATATATTATATTTTTATGTTACCAAAAAATTTTAAAAAATAATTACTAAAAGAAATACAAGAGTAAAAATATCATATCATTCAACTAAGTTATTTTGTAATTAAGTGGTTCAATTGGTTTGAAGGAAAAATCATATACCAAATCATTTATATTAGTTTTAAAATTTTATAATTCAAACTAACTTAAATTGATCACCATTTGAATTGGATTTTAAGCAGATTGGGTTAGTTTCAGTTGGGTTAATCAGTTTAAATCACTTGTGAGCAGCTCTAATATAATATTGACTAACGTTGTAATATGATTAGTTAAAAAAATCCTCTCTTTTCTACCTTCTCTTTCATTTCTCTTCTTGGATAGTGATTGGTATACATTACATAACACACTCATTAAAAAATTACTATTTTTTGGTCTGAAATTAAAGACAAACAAGTTTAAATATATAATCATACAAATAAACCAACGATCTGTTGGGCCGAGTGGAAAGAGCTCGGTTTCCCGTAAGCAAGATTTTGATTTTGAGTCTTATGAATGGAAAAACAAGCGCTTGGAGAGCTTCCCCTCAAATGGGATCCAACGCTGCTTGATTTCAAATTAGTCAGGACCTAATGTGGTTACTGGATACCGAGATGTTAGTATCAAAAAATAATCATACACACAAAATGCAACAATCAACTAAATTAAGTGTATTTATATTATATTTTTAATGATTGAATAAAAAATGCATTAAAAAATGTGTTAAACCAAGTGTATACATATCATTTTTCTTCTTTTAATAGTATGTTTGGGTTGAAGGAAATGGAAGAGGGGAAAGATTTTTTGACAAATCAAAAAATATTAGAATTTAATTGATTAAAAAACTTTCAACTCTTCTCCATTCCCGTCAACCCAAATATACTATAAATTAAACATATTTAGGCGAATTCATAAGGGATCGGTAGAGAAATGGAGGAGGAGTGAACTTCTTCTGCTTGTTTTTTTTATGATATTGATAGGATGGAAAACGAGATATTGCGATTGGATAAAGATGTGTGCACACCCGGATCTCACA